TATATGTTACTGTAAAAGCCCGAACTACGATAAATCTTAGGTTAAACATAAGTTGGTAAATGTGGATATTTCACATTTGGATATTTATTTGCTGATGTTGCATTTCTTCTTTCTATTTCGATATTGGCTCTTTAGTTATAAAAATTTCTTGAGGTTGGGTTGCATTTTCTGTTTCTAAATCGGTATGTCTCTGAATCGTTACATTAGAATCATCGGTTATTTGTTTCTCACTCGTCTTTTCGTGAATAATCATTGAATCAAAAGCCTATAGTCAAAATATCATAACGTTTTAATCGCCTATAATTAACGGCTTCCTTCCTTTTCCACCAAAATTCTCCACATTGATACATCTGGGAGCAAAAATGTTACAGACCATTGTGTTAAGGGGTTTCAACTTTTAATTTTGACATATTTGTCAACTTCATAAAAAATCCTTTAAAATGAGTCCAAACTCGACATATTTAACTTTGGTATTAATGGAAATACAATCACTTCCGGTTTGAAACGTCAACGTCAATTTTGACATATTTGTCATCTTCATTAAAAAACCTTTAAAATGAGTCCAAACATGATGCACTTATCTCGAAAAACAAAAAAGTTAGAATAAAAAACATTAAACCCGAAGTTAGCAACAAGGAAGATATCAATTTAATTTTTAAATATTAATACCAACCTTAATTTTTTTGTTATATTTTTGTTTTTGTGACAAATATTAAGAAATTTTATAAAAATTAAGAATATGTCAAAATGACATTGACATTTCAAACCGGAAGTTCTTATATCTCGAGTAATATTGGAATTAAACGTATCATGTTTGGACTCATTTTAAAGGATTTTTCACGACGATTACAAATATGTCAAAATTGACGTTGACATTCTTAACCGGAAGTTGACCATAACTTCATTAATATTGAAGATAAATATGTCGTGTTTGTACTCATTTTAAAGGATTTTTAATGAAGATTACAAATATGTCAAAATTGAGGTTGACATTTTAAACCTGAAGTTAGTTATCATATAATAGACAAATGGACAACTTCATGGTGTTCTTTCATGATGTATTCTTTATTAAAAAAACCTTTAAAATGAGTCCAAACAAGACGCACTTATCTCAAAAAACAAAAAAGTTAGAATAAAAAACATTAAACCCGAAGTTAGCAACAATGAAGATAGCAATTTAATTTTTAAATATTAATACCAACCTTAATTCTTGATTTTTTTTATTATATTTTCGTTTTTGCGACAAATTTTAAGACATTTTATAAAAATCAAGAATATATCAAAATATCAAATATGTCAAAATTGACATTGACGTTTCTAACCGGAAGTAGACCATAACTTTTTTAATATTGAAGATAAATATGTCGTGTTTGTACTCATTTTAAAGGATTTTTAATGAAGATTACAAATATGTCAAAATTGAGGTTGACATTTTAAACTTGAAGTTAGTTAACGTGTTTTTTGGGAGCTGAAGACTTTTTTCGACATTTATCGTGTCTTTGCGGTAAAACCTAAGATTTACCGAGTTTCGGAGAACATTTCGGACTTTTACCATTCAGAGTTGGTAAATGTTGGGTTTCACTGGAAAATCTTAGGATTACAAACTTAACTTATATTCCTCGTATTTCATCAAAAAAGGTTTGTTGGGTTATAAATAAAATAAAAATAGATTTTTAACCGCTTTATTGGCTGAGGCATTTATTGTACATTTATTTACCATTATAGTTACTCTTGCGATTATAATAATATACGTCTTTTTCGTCATCGTCACGCATCCTACTAGTAAAGTCATTTTTTAGCGTCCGTTTAGTTCATTTTTCCCCCATACTCTTAACAAGACAAAGTTCCACCTTTTAATTTCTTTTATTTTTAACAACAACTCCTAAACGTAACGCAAAAACTCATCGTCATCATCACTCGTCGACATTCTTTTTATTACAACACTTTCTTCTTTATCATCTTCATATAATACATATATATTTTTTATTTTGTTTATAATATATTATAATATAGCTAATAGTAAAATATATTCATTTACATGTATTTTTTTTTGTTGTATCATTTTTTTGTTCACATTTTTTGAGGGGATCTCTTCAAATAGGGATTAGGACCGTTTGTTATTATTATTTTTTTTTTTTCTCAATAATCATTTTCTTTATAGTTTCACGTCTTTTGGGAAGGACTGGGCATTTTTATTAATATTTGTTTTTTTGTTGGGAAAAATTCAAATGTGCCGCGAAAGCGTCACAAAAAACGGGTTTACGGCCTCGTCAAAACACTTAACTTCCAACACCGTTTTGGAATTTTTATAAAAATAGTTTAGCTTAACTGTTTTTTATTAGGCCATTTTGAAAAATCACAAATGAATTTTTCCAATTTCTTTTCATTTTTTAATTATAATTAACCATCTTTAACATTTTTTTTTTTTTGTTTTTGTTTTATTACATTTTTGTGGATAATTTTCTTTTCTTTACCGATTATTTAAAAAGAAACAGGTGCAGTAACTACATTTTGTGCAAGTGACATTGAGAGATTTTTCCACTTTTTTTTTTTTGTAATTTAATTTTTTTTGCGAAAAACGCGTGCAAGATTTCGAAATCGAAATAATTAAAAATCAAATTAGCTGGAATTTATTGTAAAATCAACATTTTTTATTTTTTTAATTTGGTACATACGAAAACGTTTTTATCTACAGGTGTCCTAAAATATCTTTAAAAAATTATTTAGGACACCTGTATACTATATGATTCTTTTTGCAATTCTAACATCACGATAACAATTCTATCTCATTTCTGCTATTTTAGAATTTTTAATTTACAAAATTAGCTTTTCTATCTATTGTTTTCAGTCTTTTTGTTTTTCATATTTTATTAATAAGTCTTTTTTTTCTTCATAATATTTATTTATAATAAATCTTTTTTAGTTATTTTTCTTTTCTACGTAAAAATTAAATCAATCAAAGCTTTATAATTTTCTAAGTTTTCGTATGTACCCTTTTTTTGACATTTTAATATTTGACAACAATAATCAATTTGGGTTGCCTAACCAACAAAATTCTTTTATTAATAATTTAAATACAGGGTGTTTCTCTAAGTCGTTGCATAACTTTAATCACAAATACTAGAGTAATAATGATCACAATTCATGTATAAATTTTTGGTCTAATTCCATAAATTTCTAAGATATGAGCCTTTAAACATTTTCTTAAATATTTCTAGTATGGTTTGTCTTAGAAAGATAAAATTTGGCAAACAGTGCAATGTTAACATGAGAAGTCGTTTAAGATCACTTTTGAAAATATGCAACCACGGGATCAATGATATACAGTGTGTTTACAAAGGTTATTTGAATTTATCTTTCTAAGAAAACAATATTGAAAATATCTGGGGAATCCAAGCATATTACAAAAAAAAGTTGAGAACAATAGATGTAGCAAATTTTATTCTTAACAATATTGCTCTCTTGCACTTTTGCTCTTAAATGAACAAATATTGAGAAAAATACGAAAGTATCAAAATTTGATAAATCCTTGATTTTTGCAACTTGATGATACCACTGGGGAATCTAAGCATGTTACAAAAAAAAGTTTAGAACAATAGTTGTAGCAAATGTAATTCTTAACAATATTGCTCTCTTGCACTTTTGCTCCTAAATGAACAAATATGGAGAAAAATACGAAAGTATCAAAATTTGATAAATCCTTGTTTTTTGCAAGTTATTGATGGTACCACTGGGGAATCTAAGCATATTACAAAAAAATGTTTAGAACAAAATATGTAGCAAATTTTGTTATTAGCAATATTGCTCTGTTGCACTTTTACTCCTAGATGCATAGATATGGAGAAAAATGCGAAAGTCTGAAAATTTGATAAATACTTGTTTTTTGTAAGTTATTGATGGTACCACTGGGGAATCTAAGCATATTACGAAAAAATGTTTAGAACAAAAGATGTAGCAAATTTTGTTATTAGGAATATTGCTCTGTTGCACTTTTGCTCTTAGATGAATAGATATCGAGAAAAATACGAAAACATTAAAATTTGATGAATTCCTTGTTTTGCAAGTTGTTGATGGTACCACTGGGGAATCTAAGCATGTTACAAAAAAACTTTTAGAACAAAACCTGTAGCAAATTGCGTTCTCAACAATATTGCTCTCTTGCACTTTTACTGCTAGATGCATAGATATGGAGAAAAATAGGAAAATATGAAAATTTGATGAATCCTTGATTTTTGCAACTTGATGGTACCACTGGGGAATCTAAGCATGTTACAAAAAAACTTTTAGAACAAAACTTGTAGCAAATTTTATTCTTAACAATATTGTTCTCTTTCACTTTTACCCTTATATGCATCAATATGGAGAAAAATACGAAAATATGAAATTTTGATGAATCCTTCTTCCTATCTTAGACATTTATGGATTTAGATCAAAAATTTTTATACGAATCATCATTGTGACTCTAGTATTTGTGATTAAAATTAAGCCACGACTTACAGAAACACCCTGTATATATGAATCAATAATTTATTAATTTTATTAGTTCTTTTTTCTAATTTAGCACTAGAGTTCTGCCCGTTTCTGATTGTAACTATTAATTTTTGATACAGAATGCTGAGTAACAAATAAAAGTCTAAAATTTGAGCACCCCAATTTTTTTGTTCTTTTAATTCTTTTAAATCTACATCGGAATGTTTTTTATTTTAGATCGAAAATATTCTTCTTTTAAGCTTATTATTGCGCTGCTGATGATATTTTTCCATTATTACTATCGTTTTCTCAACTAGAATTGACTAGACAGATAATAAATTGAAAAGAAAATGAGAAAATCAAATTGACAAGTTTATGTTAATGATTTTATATATAACATTATATATCACAATGAATTTTCTTCAATAATTAATAATTTCTTCATTATACACCGATATTTATTTTTTTTTATTGATTTTAGTGACCTTTATTTCAATTTTAATTAATTAATTCAAATTAAACCTATTAAATTCACACACACATTATGTAATTTTTTTTTTTTTCAATTTTAAAGTATTTTTTTGGGCGTTGAATTGAATTTCGTGCATAAAAAGTGCAAAAAGTGCGTTTTATCCCATTTTTTTTTTTAGTCAAACTTTTTCCTCCTTGTAATATAATAATATAGGCCGGTCAAAAAACTTAATTATAAACTTATTTGTGAATCGATCGCGATTTTTCCATCAAAAAAACTTTTATTTACAAATTATTTTACAAATTATTTCATTTTTAATTCGTCCCCCACAAAAATTCGATCAAAAATTAAAACTCCAGGCGAAGTGGCTCGCATGAATCGACGAAAAAGAATTTATTTTCGCCGTCCACTTCTTCGTCTGGTGTTTACATCATAATCTTTTCTAGTATTAATTAATTATTTGTTAAATAAAAGTCCAGCCTCCAAAATGTAAAAATCGCGATACTTAATTTGTTTTTTTTTTAATTTATTAGAAATGAATTTGAATTAGAAAACAGGAACTGAAAATTAAACGTTTTTATTATTGTTATTTTATTTTGTTGGCTATTTTTCGTCCGATTACGACGCATTCTTGTCGTTTACGGAATGATTTCGACCTCGTTCTGTTTCGTTTTCTTCTATTTTTTTATTTATTTATTTTATTTTTTTTTTTTTCGAAAAGTCTTTGACTCTCAAACTAAGGCAATTAAAAAAAACTTAGCCCCAGAGACTATTTTTTATTTTTCCACTTCCCTTTTATGATTTTTTCGTTTATTTCTATTTATTTAAATAGCTTTTATTTAACAGACTTTGAACGGACGAGAAATGAAAAACATTTTCAGTCATTTTAAGTTTCCAAGTTCCTGACCGCTTGGAAACGTTACAAAATGACTGATTATTATTATATTATTATATTCAGTTCTTCATTAATAAACATTCTTTTTGTATCATTAATTTTTTTTTGTTAGAAAGGTTCCTACTGAAAGAAAACCGATTGTTTATGCTTTTACTTTTTTTGGGGTAGCTTATTTTATTTATTTACTTATTTTTTTTTCCTTTCGTTTTTGGTTGGGTTTTCGAAATTTGGGTTATTCTGCAGGAACTTCCGCTAACGGCCTCTTGCCCATCGAAGTAAAGCATCTGCCAGCACATCTAAATGTGCCTTTGTCTGAAACAAACAATACAATAAGAAATATTTAAAAATTAACTTTTTATATCATGTTTTATAACATGAGTGGGTCATAATTTTTATGACAACACGCCCCTCGAAGGTCAAATACATACATATTTTAGATTCATTATTTTTATCATTTTCTCTATCTTTTATCTTCTTTTTCTTCTTATAATAATTCGACAGTCTTATTTTAAAAAACTAACATTTTCGCATAATCTAAGTGTCAAAAAAGATGCTAATTCAAACTGTTCTGGAAGCCGTGTTTATTGAAATTAAGAAATAAAACTTATTTTAAATTGAAGCTTAAAGCTTTCTGTTTAAATCGATATATAATAATCATTGGGTTGGCTTGGAAAAATATTGAGAAAAAAAATGTTGAAACAAAACTTACATTTTCGTATAACCTAAAACTGTCAAAAAAGATGCTAATTTAAAAATTCTTGGAAGCCGTATTTATTGAAATTAAGGAATAAGACTTGTTCTAAATTAAAGTTCAAAGCTTTGTCTTTAAAATGATGTATAATAATTGTTGGGTTGGATTGGAAAAATATTGAGAAAAAAAAAGTTGAAATAAAACTTACATTCTCGTATAACCTAAAAGTGTCAAAAAAGATGCTAATTTAAAAATTCTTGGAAGCCGTATTTATTGAAATTAAGGAATAAGACTTGTTCTAAATTAAAGCTCAAAGCTTTCTCTTTAAAATGATGTATAATAATTGTTGGGTTGGATTGGAAAAATATTGAGAAAAAAAATGTTGAAACAAAACTTACATTTTCGTATAACCTAAAAGTGTCAAAAAAGATGCTAATTTAAAAATTCCTGGAAGCCGTATTTATTGAAATTAAGGAATGAGACTTATTCTAAATTAAAGCTCAAAGCTTTCTCTTTAAAATGATGTATAATAATTGTTGGGTTGGATTGGAAAAATATTGAGAAAAAAAATGTTGAAACAAAACTTACATTTTCGTATAACCTAAAAGTGTCAAAAAAGATGCTAATTTAAAAATTCCTGGAAGCCGTATTTATTGAAATTAAGGAATGAGACTTATTCTAAATTAAAGCTCAAAGCTTTCTCTTTAAAATGATGTATAATAATTGTTGGGTTGGATTGGAAAAATATTGAGAAAAAAAATGTTGAAACAAAACTTACATTTTCGTATAACCTAAAAGTGTCAAAAAAGATGCTAATTTAAAAATTCCTGGAAGCCGTATTTATTGAAATTAAGGAATGAGACTTATTCTAAATTAAAGCTCAAAGCTTTCTCTTTAAAATGATGTATAATAATTGTTGGGTTGGATTGGAAAAATATTGAGAAAAAAAATGTTGAAACAAAACTTACATTTTCGTATAACCTAAAAGTGTCAAAAAAGATGCTAATTTAAAAATTCCTGGAAGCCGTATTTATTGAAATTAAGGAATGAGACTTATTCTAAATTAAAGCTCAAAGCTTTCTCTTTAAAATGATGTATAATAATTGTTGGGTTGGATTGGAAAAATATTGAGAAAAAAAATGTTGAAACAAAACTTACATTTTCGTATAACCTAAAAGTGTCAAAAAAGATGCTAATTTAAAAATTCCTGGAAGCCGTATTTATTGAAATTAAGGAATGAAACTTATTTTAAATTAAAGCTCAAAGCTTTCTCTTTAAAATGATGTATAATAATTGTTGGGTTGGATTGGAAAAATATTGAGAAAAAAAATGTTGAAGTAAAACTTACATTTTCGTATAACCTAAAAGTGTCAAGAAAGATGCTAATTTAAAAATTCCTGGAAGCCGTATTTATTGAAATTAAGGAATAACACTTGTTTTAAATTAAAGCTCAAAGCTTTCTCTTTAAAATGATGTATAATAATTGTTGGGATAGATTGGAAAAATATTGAGAAAAAAAATGTTGAAATAAAACTTACAGTTTCGTATAACCTAAAACTGTCAAAAAAAGATGCTAATTTAAAAATTCCTGGAAGCCGTCTTTATTGAAATTGAGGAATAAGACTTATTCTAAATTAAAGCTCAAAGCTTTCTCTTTAAAATGATGTATAATAATTGTTGGGTTGGATTGGAAAAATATTGAGAAAAAAAATTTTGAAATAAAACTTACATTTTCGTATAACCTAAAACTGTCAAAAAAAGATGCTAATTTAAAAATTCCTGGAAGCCGTCTTTATTGAAATTAAGGAATGAGACTTGTTTTAAATTAAAGTTCAAAGCTTTCTCTTTAAAATGATGTATAATAATTGTTGGGTAAGATTGGAAAAATATTGAGAAAAGAAATGTTGAAATAAAACTTACATTTTCGTATAACCAAAAACTGTCAAAAAAAGGTGCTAATTTAAAAATTCCTGGAAGCCGGATTTATTGAAATTAAGGAATAAGACTTGTTCTAAATTAAAGCTCAAAGCTTTCTCTTTAAAATGATGTATAATAATTGTTGGGTTGGATTGGAAAAATATTGAGAAAAAAAATGTTGAAACAAAACTTACATTTTCGTATAACCTAAAAGTGTCAAAAAAGATGCTAATTTAAAAATTCCTGGAAGTCGTATTTATTGAAATTAAGGAATAAGACTTGTTCTAAATTAAAGCTCAAAGCTTTCTCTTTAAAATGATGTATACTAATTGTTGGGTTGGATCGGAAAAATATTGAGAAAAAAACGTTGAATCAAAACTTACATTTTCGTAAGGTGTCAAAAAAGATGCTAATTTAAAAATTCGTGGAAGCTGTATTTATTGAAATTAAGGAATAAGACTTATTTTAAATTAAAGCTCAATGTTTTCTTCTTAAAATGATCCGTAATAATCACACCTAATAACCATTTATCAAAGAGATACCTTTTTGAACAACAAAATTCAGTAACACCACTTTTCACTAAACTTCTAACCTCACATCTGGACGAATAAGTTTAAATATACCTAAAAACCCTACAGTGCGGATTGTATCATTTTTTATACAGATTCTTTCTTGTATAGTAGAAAGTACCGACAGCTCTAAATGCGCCGAATAGATGACACAAAGTCGTGGACACAAAAGGTTAAATGGAACACCCTATACATTTTATCATATTATGTATAGCATTAAATTTGTTTATACAACCGTATATGTTACTAACTCATAGCGTTCACAGTAATTAAAAAAGGGATTTATTGTTCTGCCATTTAATTTTATTTTTTGTATTTTTATCATCTTTTGATTATTTATTTATTAAAGTTTTTTTTAAATTGTATTTTAATATAATATTACTGATTTACAAATGACAGTCAAACAAAAAAGAAAAACAAAAAACAGAATATAGAATATATTTACATTCTATCAATTTTTTAAGTACAATAATGACATTTTATCACACATTTTTCTTTAAATTCTAAATATCAGGAGAACTATTAAAGTTAGACATATGATATACTTATCATTAATTACAGGGAACTTGATCAGCAATTCAACTAGCACACAACATACAGGGTGTTCCATTTAAAAAACGTAAGAAAAAGCAATTTGAAAAACACCAAAAGTAAGTGAGCTTTTTAAACATCCTGTATATTGTATGTAATATATTTGCATACTACCATCTACCTACTGGCTTTGATTATTGTCTGACGTAATTTTGAGGCAAAATTGGAAAAATTGTCGTTTTTGCATCGTTTTTAAAAAGATCCTGTAATTGGCACATTTTGGAAGAACAATTGAATATCTCAGGAACTATGAACACTGTGAAATAGTAATATATACGGTTGTATAAACAAATTTAGTTGTATTCATAATATGATAAAATATACAGGGTGTTCCATTTACATAAATTTATGTACTCTCCGTTACGCTGAAATGGAACACCCTGTATAAGTGAAAATAATTTTACGTAATAGAAAGTCATGAGTCAAACAACTTTTGTATAAAATACTTTTTTGTTTTTCAAACGGTTTGGTAACTATCGACCGCCGTTATACTTATAACTAATAACTCACCCTGTATACAAATCTACCAATGTTAACAAAAAAATATACAGAGTCAGTGATATGTATGGAAATGGTCGGTTATCTCCAAACTAAAGTAAGATAGCTAGCAAAAAATGTTAAGATACAAACGTTTTAGTATTTTTTAAAATCTCATTAGAATGAAGACAAATTAAGTATACAGGGTCAGTCAAAAATTATATCACATAATGTTATATCAACATAATGTATTTTTCCTATCACAAACTTCTCTAAACAATTGCAAAATGATCTACAGCTATTCCAAGTTGTTCAAAACCCGTCTATAACGTTGCAAAATTTTTCAAAGTGATTAAATCTTGGTTGATAATGTTTAAAATATTGTCTAAATGATTGCAAAATGATTAATAGGTATGCCAAGTTATTCTATGTTATAAGGTATCAGATCGTCTCAATTTAAATGCGTCACCCTGTATAAATAAATAAATATACAGTGTCCGCCAAAAAGTCAGCAACGCCCTATTCTTTTTGGGTCTATTACACCGACGTTTCTAAAATTTTGCTTATATGGGGTGTTCAGCCCAATCTTTCGATCTGTAATATTTTCAAGATGGCCGCCACTTCCGGTCTATACGAAGTAAATCACAAAATCGTTATTTTAAAATTGTTGAACCCAGAACATTTCCAGTAATGCTAAAGACGGCTTTTTACTATATTTTAATTATTATTAAGTCATAAAAAATCATAAATTTAAAAAAAAAAGAGAAAATATAAAAGAGATAAAAGCTCAAAGCTCTCCCAAAAAGGTATTCTGAAACAGCGTAGGCGTTCTCTTTTTCCTCGGAGCTAGTTCCAGAACTCCTCTGCTTTACTAAATCACTTTGGTCCACTTTAAACGTACACGTTCTCAAAGTACTACTAGACGCAAAGGGTTTAAAAGTAAATTGACTTTGAAAAAAAATATGTGTATAAAGAAATAAAGGAATGTTGAGATATAAAAATGATAAGATAATAATTAAAGTTAATGAGGGCGGAGAAAATGATTTAAAAAAATGGAATGTTGTGAA